AATTCTCACTTGATAACATAATTAAATCGTTGGACAAAAATAATGATGGAAGTGTCAGCTTTGATGAGTTTGTGATGCTTATAAAAAGGATAACTAATAGAGGACAGTAAGGCATCTGCAAGAAAAATATCACTGCATTGAAGAAGAGCCTGGCATTTGTTTACGTTATTCATACATCTAAACCCACAGATTTGTTATTATTTTAAAACATATGGAATAAAGATTTAACAGATAACGAAGTGTGTCTGTACTGTGTTTCCTGCATATTCACCAGCCACACTTTCCAGCTGAAATGCCTTGCAATTAGTTCAGAACTATCTGTTTCTATTTCACGCTACATTTGAGGTGTCATTTAACAAACCCTGCTTTACCTGAGCTATTATTTGGACCTCTAGAGCAATTCAAAACACACAGTTTCTATAACACACAAAAAGAAAGATATAGCATTCCATCTGAGGAGTGTTCCCTAGTGGATACCATCCAATACTCCTCCCAGTTCAGTTTCATCATTACATAAGACAACACTGCCATAGGGCAAACAGTTCAAATTTTTAGAACATGAAGTACTTATTTTCAGTAACAATGTAACAATGCCAAGTATGATAACTGCAACATTACATTAAATTATATTTATGTAAGTACATTACTTTTTTTTGTTATTACTCCTGTAATAGGTAATTATGTATATAAACTGAGGGATTGCTTTTGCAACTAAAACATTCATTACCTTTCTTTGGTGAAGCTTTAACCTTTTCATTGCATGATTCCTGTGACAGATGAGTTTTCCCACAAGTAATTCATGGGCATTATTATTTACTTTAAGAAGAAATTAGTCAAAGAAGAGAAATGAGAAGAATGAAAATTTTGAAGGCAAGTAATCAGTAGATTAGGTACTAATCCTGCTAGATAACTTGGAACTTTGGACTGAATTTTAGCACCAGCATCCTCCATTATGTTGATAAATTAATTAGATCTCAGAGTTACTTAAGGACTTAAAGACTCAGATTAATTGCAAAGTCTGTCAAGTGCATTCAAGACCCCATATGACTGTGGTTCCTATCCCTGAATTTTCCCTCCCTGAAATGAGGAATAAACATACACACCAGTGATGCATGAATAGAAGCCTCAAAAAATATTATGCTTAGACATGATATGAATGTTCTAACAGGGTCCCAGGCCATTCTTTTACAAAAAACCCTTTAGTTGCTGAAATATATTGTTTCTTGGAAGAAAATCATAATATTTATTACTTTTTTCTGTTTTATGAAAAAAAAATCTCAATTAACAGCATGCTTCAATTTCAAAACTAAATACACCACATGCATATTTGCTTACTAAGCCACAGTAGCTACCTAAGTACATCGCAGAACTTTAGGAGGTGCTTTTGCATGAGTGGGACATGTTCCTTTATATCTCTTAGACAACCTTAAAAATTTTGGAATTCAATAAGGTTACAGAGATCCCGAATAGGAAATGTGGGCACCAAGAAACAAACATGTTTTAAGAGTGTCACCTACTGGCAAAATGTATTTCTTCATTTCTTGAGTATATAGAAAATGCAATTTTATCCAGTGCAACAAATTCAGTTTCATGATCCTATACAAGGAGCAATAGGTCACAAAGAACAACGGTCACAATTAAAATTAGCTTTTTTAAATCAAAGGAAAAGAAAAAAGTATTACAATTATTTCTGGAAAGAGTCTTTTTTTTTTCCTCTACAGGAGTGTTAGATGCAGTTGCAATAAAATTGACAAAGAAAATATTTAAAAGGCTCATTAAAAAAAATTTAATTTTAATAATAGAGGAAGATGAGGGAAATGGAACAAACAAATAACTCTTTGTCCATCCAGTGAATCCAGTTCATTAGCAGTTTACAAACTATACAGTTTCCCTTTAAAGGAGTTATTTTTGAAATTATCATTTGCCAAATTACCAAATTATCACTGGTATGAGAAAATTCATACCAAGCACTACGCTCAAGCAAATGCATTACTTTTCTGAACAGCCACCTTCCTGCAAAGAACACTAACAACTCATCCATCGTTATTTTCCAAAAAGGCTAGAAAGTAAAGGAGAAAGCTTAAGAATACTTAATGGGAACACCACCTGCAAATAATCAACCAAGGTGAGATCAAGAACTTGAGGGGCTGTACTCAGAGCTCATGTACCTCCCTCACCTTCCCTACTGAGCAATGCCTGGCAATGCTCCAGACTTGGGGAAGAGTGGCTGGAAAGCTGCCCAGGCGACCTGGTGGTGTTGGTCAACAAGGGCTGAACATAAGCCAGCAGTGTAGCCAGGTAGCGAAGAAGGCCAACGGCATCCTGGTCTGCATCAGCAATAATGTAGCCAGCAGGACCAGGGCAGTGATTGTCCCTGTGTTCTCAGCACTGGTGAGGCCGTGCCTCGAGTCCTATGCCCAGTTTTGGGCCCTCACTACAAGAAAAACATTGAGGTGCTGGAGCATGCCCAGAGAAGGACAACAGGGTGAAGGGTCTGGAGCTCAAGTCCTGTGAGGAGTGGCTGAGGGAGCTGGGGTTGTTTAGCCTGGAGAAAAGGAGGCTCAGGGGTGACCTTATCGCTCTCTACAACTACCTGAAAGGAGGTTGTAGCCAGGTGGGGATTGGCTTCTTCTCCCAGGCAACTAGTGACAGGACAAGAGGAAACAGCCTCAAGCTGCATCAAGGGAGGTTAAGGTTGGACGACAGAAAGAATTTGTTCATTGAAAGGTTTGTCAGGCATTGGAATGGACTGTCCAGGAAGGTGGTAGAGTCACCATCCCTGGAGGTGTTCAAGAAATGACTGGACATGGCACTTAGTGCCATAGTCTAGTTGACAAGGTGGTGATTGGTCAAAGGTTGGACTCAATGATCTTGGCAGTCTTTTCCAACCTCAATGGTTCTATGATTCTCCATAATTCTGAGGTACACGATTACTTGATAATCTCAGGTTTTATTTCTTATAAAAAGGTTCAAACTTCCATAAATGCAGATAAAGGGAAGCAAAGAAGACCAAGATATTTTCTAAGCATTTTAGAAGAAACGATCAGCTTTGCCAAGTAGAGTTCTGAGTACCTGAATGCTTGGCAAATTAAGAAGGGATGTAAGTAGCTGCATATTTTATGGTGGCCCCGAGTTCCCCGCCAAGCTACATATTTCAACTTTTGTCTTTTTCTTAAAAATAAAAGGAACTATTGCCTCTCCAGTACCTTTCTTCTGCCCCTTCAGTTTCCAAAGGAGTAGAAACCAAAAGAAAAGTACACTGCTTTGGTCCTTAGCATACAGTGGTGTCACACGATGTTATTGGTGCTGATACATTCCAAATAACTTTCTTGCATAATGAAACATCTACATCAGTTAGATATTTCACAAGCTTCACTAATGTGCTTCTCTTCCATTCATTTTTATTGATTATATAGAATATCTAAACAGTTTTTAGCACAAGATGGACTCTGCTAAGGCAGATTATTTAGCAGTTACAATTATTGGTAGTACAAATTTTCCCCTTGGAATGATTTATACCTGTTTCTTGTCCAGAACTGAAATGTCAAAGATCAGATTAAGATGCTGAAATATGACTGGTAATAACCAACTTCAGAACCTTAATGCAGCTCAGAACAAAAGAATATCCATTATACATACTGCAAGCATACTGCCTCCCTTGTAAACAATGTATTAATCTTCTATGACACATACAGTCATTCCAATATTTCCTTAACTTTATGTCCACATAACTTTCTCTTTAACATATCTACCTTACTTGTCCTTGAATGCAAACTACAAATCACCCAGTTAATTACAATTACATAAAACCGGCACTCAAAAGCTCTAAAAACAAAGATACCCCAGAATCAGTCTTCTGTACTCCCTTCTTGCTACTGAAAAAATTTACAGTAAGTGTTCAACATCTTCCACATTTTACAACATATTGCTACCATGAAATTGAACTCTCCAGTGAAACAGTACGTCTTTGCACAAATTCAAGAAAGAGGAAGGAAGAGACCTCTTACATGATGGCAAGGCCACAACAGTTTACCTTTGCTCACCTGAGGACATCTCCAAACACCACGAAGTTTTAGCAGCAAGTCTTACACTAAAACTTTTAGGTCTTTAATTTACCTTCAAAAGTTCAGACTAGGTTATCTTTCCTACGCAAATAAACAATCTTGTCAAAAAGGTCAAATGCTTCAAAACCCTCCTATTGGCACATTTCAGACTAAGCAGACATGAAAAAAAGAAGTTTCACTTGCAAATCCCAACAAAACACTTTTGAAGGAAGTTCATATAGAAACAGTAGGTCACTATGAGCAACCCACTTAATTTGTCACTAGAACAGATGTTTACATCTTACACCAAGATACCACTTTATTTCTTACATTTTTCTGTTCTTTTTCATTTTCTTTAAATCCCTTGTTCACTGATCATTTTCAAGTTTTACTAGTGACGATGTGATGAACTACACTCAAATTCTACCATCAGTATATGATGCGGAAAGCTCTGCTCGATCTACAGCACTGAAATTTTTGTCAAAAGGAAGACTGTAAGATGAGTCAGCAGGAGGGGTGTAGTGATTATTTATGCATTTTATATAAAGGAAATACAAGAATTTTTCAAATTCTTTCCATTTAATCCTTATCTTTTTTATATAAATTTATATTTTGATAAAAGCTTTGTGCTACACTTTTCAGCTCCCTTTTATATTTTATTACCTACTAAAGCCAACCTAATCATTATTGTCTACTCCTAGGATCAGTTTACAGCCAAGGAAAATATTAGAAAGATTAAAAAAGTAAAGCTAAGGCAATTCACAAAAGTGAGCAGGTAATGGTAAGACATTATCAAAAGAAAATGCCTATTAAACAATATTAAATAGGGACAGCAGAAAACACCTCATGTCCTACCATATAAAAATATATATATAGATCTTAACTAACACAGAGGTAACTCCCTTTTTAACAAAAGATGTATGTTCACAAAACATATGCAGGAAAAACTGTACTTACAACAGGGTTTTTTGTGTCTGGGTCGAATTCTGTAGAATTTGCATCTGAAACAGAAACTCAAAGTAAAGACAGTACATTTGTTCTACATGCACTACAAACTCATAACAGTTCCGTGGCATTTCAGGACTTGTCTGCATTTAAGCTACAATCATATGTTGAAACACATACTGCACCACTTTTGAAGCAAGCACAGGAAGCATATGACCTCAGACACACACATTCCCTTTCCTTCTTTCCAAAACTCTTTCCTATCAGCTCTTAGTAGCAGAAATTCGTTGATGAGCTAAATCTCTTCATACTACTACTGCAGTGGTTGTGGTTTGTCTACTCTGGCTAAGGAAGGCAAGTGAGAAAATCACTTTTACTCCTCACCACCTGCACGCTTCAGAAAGAGACTAGAGGTGAACTGTAAGCACACTTTCTCCTACGCTATAGATCAAGAAACAGGTTTCAAGCAATCTGCATAATAAAGAATTCCTACTCCCTTGCACAGAGAGGTAGCACAGCGTACATAGCTGAAAATGATCTTGCTGCAAGAGCTAAGTATCTAACAATCATAGGATCTGTAAATAGTTCTAGTAATAGACATAAATTTCACATAGAGAATAAAATTTCTTCTAAGCAAATCACATTCACACTAGCATACTGAGCTCACCTTTCCAATTCAAACAGTTTCTTGCAAATTCCACAACTGCTAACTGCATTCCCAGGCAAACTCCTAGAAAAAAATCAAAACAAAACCCCCAGAATTTAACAGGACAAAGCAGGACTGACTAAGTACTTGCTCTTCTGTCTTAGACTTGACTACTTTGAAATCTTAGTACTCAGTGTATATGCACAGACTTATAAAAAGCTAAATCAAAAGTTGCCGCTCAATGTAAAGTTCACACTTCAAACTTGGCACACTGCAAATAGCTGTGACAGAATTACGTGCTTTAAGCCCTTTCAAAGATTTTTTTTTTCCTCCTGTCTATTTTACCAATAATTACTGCAAAGACAAACAGAAGCTGAAAGCCTGGGTACATCCAGATTCAAAGTTTGCTTTAGCAGCTACTCAGACACTTAAAAAAATTGTAAGAAACGTGGAGTAGGAACGAAAACTTGAGAGGTACTTACACAAATAGCACTCAGCTTACAGGCCAGATGACTTTACCACAATAAAATATACCATTAAATCAACAAAAATAATCTAATACAACAAATGTGTCCAACAAAGACACCTATGTTTTCTGCACACTATTTAACATATATAATTATAGTGGTTTAATTACAATGAGAAGCAAAGACTCTCTATTTAAAATGTGAACATAGAAGTAAAACCTTGGGAATAGGGATAGTCTTCATTTCCTTCCTTATACAGATGTAGTACACAACTACGACCCTGGGCATTATTTACATGGCAAGTATCCACAACATCACATGTACTTCCCTAAGACAGAATCCTTCCCTAGTGTGAGTTTAATTTTATTTTTTTAAATCAAATCACTTAGCTTGCTATACATCTGCAAAACACAGTAATTTGACTCTAATGATCTTACCAAGAAAAGGTTTTTTTTTTGATCTTGCCCAGGAGATAGCTTGGAGTTTGCCTTCCGTTCCCCTAATTCCAAACCCTCCTGGGACCAGAATGCCACTGTAATGACAGCCATATATAAAAGAATCAACATGTAGAATAAAGCCAGAAGAGGAAATCCATAAAACTGAAGACTTTTGAGGCAACCAAGCAAGCACAATGCATGAAAGGCGTGTTTTGTATGAACATTCTGAATACAAAGAATTTAACTCTAAATTTGGAGATTTGTTTCATCTACCCACCCCAATTCTCTTCTGACCAGCCTCATGCTTCACAGTGAAATTCCGACTGCTTAAATACATATTGCTCAAATAAACTTATCTACATATTCACTACTCTAGGATCCCAACACCAAAACTTTACATCTTCTAAGCAATAATGTAGAAACTAAATGCATTTTGACAACAAACAATATCCCTTTACAAATACAAATTGAAATCCTGGCAATGATTCTTAACAGAGACATTTGCAGAGTGTCAACAGCATTTACAAGCACCTTTCACTGACCTGCACTGTAAAGAAAGTGCAGCTATCCAAAAAACCAAAACAAGAATAACCCTAACTTAACAACCAAACAACTGCAACTTGTCTAAAGAGAATAAAGCAGAGTTTGAGGGTGTAGGTTGATACTTCATTTCCTATGTCTGAAGCTTGTCACCAATCACGTAATATATCCCTTTACATAAGTAACAGAAGTTTGGATGCATTGAGAAATTATCTGATTTATTGAAGCATTTTTCAGCATATGAAATCAATATCATGGTGTGCATTTTGGATACAGAATACCCAACATCACTTACTCTGCTTTGCACAGTTTGTGCCATGCCTGGTGATATTTCACTGAGTTCTCCGCTTCTGTAGAACGTTCAAGTTCTGTTGAATCTATGTACTAATAAAGAAAAATAGGCAATGAAATGGTCTTTTCTTCCACAGAAAGAATAATCAAGCATTAAGAAAAATTATTAAGCATTTCAAGTGAATTTCCAAATAAACCTGTAACAACTTCACTGAAGACCCAGTACTTGCTTTGAGGACAAAGTGTTTGCTCCAGTTGCAGCAATCCATGCCCCCTTTTTTGCACATAGTTCAGAAGTTCTGCCTGCCAACAGTCCTGTTTGGCATCCTCCAAGCAATCAGACTTGCTAGAATGCTTCACATAACTGTGTACCCAGGTTATCTTCCTACGGCAATCAGGAACCAGACGAGGAGTGGTGCTGACCTTATCCTGATAGCCGGGATGTTCACTTCCCTGCCTTTTGGGTGCCACAGTTTATCTAGTCTTATTATAAGACTGGATAAACCTGCATTTCTGGGGAGTGTTGTGTAGAAAGGGAGACAGACACATTACCTACGCCCTACTAGAAATCCTGCATTACAGTCTCTAGTGCCATTAAGCAGCACAGCTCCTGAGGTACCACTAGAGTGAAGTGAGATGGCTATGTACTGCACTGGGGACACAAAAGATCAGAGCTGGATTCTGGGTTTTGTCAGTCTTCTCCTCAGAATAACGTAATTAATCACATCCTGCTCTAGAGTCCATCCTCCACAAAAATGAGATCATCCCAACTGACAGAACTCACCCATGTGCAGAGAAATGAATCTGACAAGGAGCTTGCTGACAGTTTTCCAGACAGACAGGACTGCCTCCTAGAACTACTTCTGAATGTTGTTATTCTATATTAGAATACTACAGGATCTACTAAAAGGACATTTTATCATGCTTGGAGGTTGGAAAGAGAAACTAATTACAGTTTAGGTTAATTGTGTTTTCCTTGCCAAAGATATTGAGCAGGCACATTTATCACTTCAAGCAGCATCAACATTTCATCATTCAGATGAAGCAGTTCCTTCAGAGCATGGCATTCTATCAAGAGCCTTTGGGCAAAAACACTAAAAGGAGGTTAGGACATGCAGGTAAGTATGACAGGAGCCCTTGTTTGTTAACCTTTCAGCACTGCACTGGAGCTCAGCAATCATCAAGTCTCATGGTTGTTAATGCAGAAGCCCCACCAAAGTTAAGACCAGCTGCACACAAAGCTGTGTGTTTGCAGACAAGGCATCTTTCACTTTTTTGCTAAAAGCAAAGCTATTTTATATATCAAAAAAATTTCCCACCATGCAGCTGTCAGTAACACTATAGTGACAGAATCACATAAGTCAGAAATGACCTTGAGAGGTCTCTAGCCCAACCCTCTACTCAAACGAAGTCAAACTGGAGCAAGTTGCTAAGGATCATTAAAAGCCAGGATCTAAAAATCTCCAGGGATCAATTCTAGCTGTTCCCACTTTCTTGTTTTTCATGCACACAAAAACAACTTTTTGTAAAATTTGCTCATAATCTTCCCAGGGAACAAGGAGAGGCTGACCACCTGCCATTTTTGCCTTTTTCTTTTCTTTTTTTAAGATTGATACAACATTTGCCCTTTTCTAGTCATAGAATCACAGAATCACTATGGTTGGAAAGGATCCTTAAATCCATCCACTAACCCAGCACTGCCAAGTCCATCATGAAACCATTTTTCATGAGAACAAGTGAAATTTAACTTTGATAGTAAATACAAATTTGCAGGTAAAGTCTGTTTTTTCATCAGATCCAGTTTTGGGTAACTTCAGTGTTCCCTTCAGATAACTTAAGTTTCAAAAAAAAAAAAAAATTAAATCTGTAAACATTTCTTTTAAAAAATTAGATGCTTGGTCTGTCTGTATTTATCTGCATGACTCATTTCCTAATTTTCACATGAATTAAAACTGCCTCACATGATGGGAACTAATAGGGAATTATACAACAGTAGATTCAAAGTATTCCTGAAAGCAAAAGCCAGAAATATCCTCACCATTAAATCCAGTTTGTAATTAATTGCCAGCGCAGAGTGTTCCAGAGCTTTGAAAACAGATGCATAGCAGTCACTTAGCTTGGTGTACTTGCCAACAAGAGCTATGGAACACACCTTCAGCAACCTTTCATATCTGACAAAAAAAAGTTTTTCAGTTACTACATCAAATTTCACAAAGAAAACATTTTAAGTGCTTGCTTTTTCTTTAACTCCACAAAATATCTTCTAAAATTTTCAAACTGACCATGTTTTTAAACTTAGATCATTCACAGGTGTTGATCAGCACCTGGACTCTAGTCCAGTGTGGTAACTTCACAGTAGCTAAAAACTCAACTTGAATTAAAACACTTCTTAAAAAAGCAGCAGGATGTAGAATACCTGCAAGCCATTTTCTTCCATTTCATTAGAAGATCACTTGGCTGGTCATCAATAGGTAAATTTAACCTCTGTTTAAAATACTTAATGATGCCTTGCTCCTCCAACAGGATTGGTACTCGGTAAGTAGAAGAAACATCATGAATAAATATCACCTAGCAAAAGAAAGCACAACATAAAAAGACTTACCTAAAATTCTTCATAGGAAACATACATTCTATTTTTTGGATGCTACAAGCATTTTTTCATTCTATATACATTCTAATTTTTAAATACTTTTCTTTTGAATGAGCAGGACAGCTTGGCAGCTACCATCCTAAGTATATAACATTAGGAAAGAACCACTAACTGCTCTAAGTTACAGCTGTGCTGACTACAGAGACTGTTATAATCCTGAAACAAGTTAAAGACACTGCTTTTGTCTTGACAGTACATATAGTCAAGAGAGGAGGGAGGACTCACTTGAAATAAATAAAATAAAAATCCACTTAGAGGAAGACTGTGGACAAAACAGCACATGATCTTCGTGGACTAGTTATGACCGTCCTGGAAGTCAGTTCCGGGCACACAAAACACAAGAAAATAATCAGGAGTAGTCAGCATAGATTCATACTTGACCAATCTGATGAACTTTTATGATTAAGTGACTGGCCTGGCAGATAAGAGGAGAGCAGTGCATATCATCTATCCGGACTTCAGGAAGGCTTTTAGCACTATCTCCTCTACGATCCTCATAGACAACCTGTTCATGTATGGATGAGCAGACAGTGAGGAAACTGTCAGAATGGCTGGGCCCAGAGGGTGATGATCAGCAGCACAAAGTCTAGTTGAAAGCCAGTAATTATTGGAGTACCCCAGGTGCCAGTACTGGACCCAGTCCTGTTTAACATCCTCATTAATGTTATTATTATATAGTTATATATTATGTAATATGTATTATATTATACTATATTACATTACTGATTCTGTATGATGGGGCAGAGCACATCTTCAGCCAGTTTTCAGATGACATCAAAGTGGTAGAAGTGGTTGATAGGGCAGAGGGCTGTGCTGCCACCCTGCCAACAGGCAGAAGAAATGGGCTGACAGGGACCTCATGAAGTTCAACAAGGGTAAGTGCAAAGCCCTGCATGCGGGCAGAAACAACCCCAGGCACCATTACATGGGACCACCCAGATGGAAAGAAGCTTAACAAGAAATGACCTACTGGAGACGGAGTTGAACATTAGCCAACCCCTGCTACTCCAGGCTGCACTAGGAGGAGCATTGCCAGCAGGCCAAGGGAAATGATCCTTCCTCTCTACCCAGCACTGGTGAGGCCACACCTGCAGTACTGAGTCCAGTTCTGAGCTTCCCAGTACAAGAGAGACATGGACATACTGATTTCACAAAAATTTCAGGATCATTCTAGGGAAAATAAGACATGCAGATAAGTATCTTCTGAAATCCAAAAGTGGTTCATTAATTTTAAGACACACAGTGGACTTAAGAATGGTTTTGCAGAATTGTGATGAATATAGTTATGAAAAGGAAAAAGAACAAAAGAAAGAGGGGGAAAAAAAGGCTGCAACACAGAGTGGCACCTAACAGTACAGTCCACTGGGTCTAACCACCAGGCACACATCTATTACACAATTCAGTGCTGAAGAAAGACATTTGAGCTAGCCAGAACAGTGTAAGAAGAATGCAGCACTGCCCTCATTAAAGTTGTGACTGGTACAACCATTCAGGTACTACCCTAAAAGGTAGTAATTTGGAAAAAAAGGAACAGTGCCATGAAGACAGCTCTCTCCCTGCCCTGGAGCTCTTAGGGAAGTTCAGTTATGCACGTTGTTCTTGGTCCACTTAGACTGGCATAATAACTGCAGTTGGGATCTGAGCACGTATGTGCTTACACACAGCCTGATACTGCCAGAAGAGCACACACCATTTCTCTTTGACTGAATTTCAGTTGTCTCTCTTTGGCTGGAGTGGAACCACAAAGCGTATCTGAAGGATTTTCTGGAAGCTAGCTTGATCAAGGGTGTTGTCTTCCACAGATAGTAGGATGGAAGAAATGAGGGGTGGGGGGTGTGGAGCAATGGTCACACTGTTCTCTAAGTCCTCATCTGGAATCTTGCTATCAAAAGTTTTTTCTTACACATTTGCAGGGAGAGAGGTCAACACTGACACATATTTGAAATACCACATAACTACTTGCATCTATTTTGCATTTTTATTACAGCAAAAAATATTAAATTTCTCAAAATTAATATAGCAATTAATCACAAACTATTAGGCAAAAATTACACATGAATTATAAAAGGATATATGACTACACAGTAGATGTTCTAAACATGTTGAAAGAGCATAAATAGCCTATTACATATGACCACAGTAAAAGTGTTCATGTAGTTGCAATCATCTATGGACATAAGCAAATCACCTGATTAAACCACACTTTGTTCATCCATTACTACAATCACCTGAGATCATTTACGGGCAATAACCAACCAGAGCTGTGAAAACTGTGCAGTTTCAAGCTATGTATAGCAACTAACTATGCACTCAAAATCTATTCCTTTGATTAGCTTTTACATAACATGCATTTAAATTATTAACGACCGTTTGACATAAAGCTTAACATACAAACTTCCAGTATTTTTAAAATGCTATAGTGTACAGGACAGCAAGATAAAAATTATAAAAACAATTACAAATTAATGAAGCAGTCTGAAGTTGAAAACAGAAATGCATAGAAATATTCGTATGCTTTCCTACATGTTTAAATAATGACAAATAAAATATTAAGGTACTGACCTGCTCAGGCTCCACATGACAAAACATGGAAATCTTTTCCTTCACTGCCATTTCTATAGGTTTTGCACTTCTGCAAACTATCTGTCATAACAGAAGGAAAAATTTCAAGTATTTACTAGGCAAACCAATAGAAGAACCTCAATACTTCATAGAGAAATTCATCTCCTTTGGAAGAAGGGCACAAACAAATGTGCCTTTCATACTCTTTCCCCTCTTTAGAGTTCTACAATATATCATAGCTCACCAATAATCTACTAGCAAGGCAGAAGTAATCCAGCCACCTACCCATACTGACGAATTTTTATGTCTTTCATTGACACTCCGCAATACTGCTTTCTCATGTTCTCCTTTCTTGCAGCTACTACTGTAATAGTCTGTCTAAAGTCTAGCAGCTCTGTAAGGATGAATAATACGATGAATCAAAAGGAATACTGTGATCTTATCAGTAAGATCAGATTTAAATTTAGAGCATTAATACCTAGCTTACATGCATATTTCTAGTATTTCAGTAGTTTAGCATCTTCTTGTAATTTTTAATTTGCACATCATGACAAAAAGAATGAGGCCAAAGATGAGAAAACTATTTCATAATTGTGTGGGGTTTTTTACTGCTGCAATTATTCTGCCAGTATTTTGCTGATACATTCAAAACTCAGTAATTTTAGGAAATATTGATCATTTTTAAACAATGAAGAAAATTACTATATGTTTGGAGTTTGTTGAAAGGGGTCTTGGTTTTGCATTATGTAACTCCAGGCAACTAGCTCAAAATCCAGAACTGCTCTATCAATGTGCCTGTTGATTACTTTGTCTACTACCTTAAGTTATTTTGAAACCTGAAAGTGTAACAGAAAGTAGGATGATCCTGTTACAAGATTAATTCATTATTTTCCCCATCTTTCTAGCAAATGCATCTACTTAATGCATTAAGCCCCTTCGTTCAAAAACTTGTAGCTGACCTTTGATCACCTTGCTAATGCAGTTTAGCTACACTGATATTGATGAAGTCTAATTAACTTCCCCTACTTAGTGCACGTTCAAATAAAAAAAGAACCAGGAAACAATCTGTACATTCTATTCAAGTAAGCACAACTCAAAAATTTGGTACAGTTTGAAGGTGAAGGTATAATTCATAAACCTTGACAGTAGGAGCACATGACTAAATTCATTTTGAAAACTATAATCCATTTTGCTGAGGCAAATTTAAAGTTAATGCAGACAGAGAAATCAAAAACATCAGAATCAGCATGAAAATAAAGAAACTACAATAATAACAGTGGCAGAGATGCATCTCAAAGAAACATAACACACAGAAGATGAGAAACAATTCAATCGAACAGGGCAGCACTGACAAGCTTATACTCAGTTGTCAAAGTGCTGTAGCAGAGTATGTGATACCTGCAGCTGTAGCTTGCTCGTTAGGCACTTCGGACACCCCACAGAGAACAGAAAGGCTCTTGCACACACAGCTGAGACCATCCCAGCATGCCACCTCAAGAAGCCTGGGAGCGGGCAGTGAGGCAAGCAGGTATTCAGAACAGGACAAGCCAAGTTCAGATCAGGCAGCCTGGCAGCACAGCTTATGGAGGAAGCCCTCCTGACTGCTGCTGGAGGAGCTTCCCCGTGCGCTGTCTCGGCCTTGGGCCCCTGCCCAAGAGAGTTACCATCTAAACCTTGTCTTGAAACAGCACCCAAGGAACTTTATAAGGGCGCCAGGAAGCTACACTCCAACTGTAATCTCTTGCTGCTTTAGCAGTCAACAGCAGCAGTCACAAAAAACAAAAAAAAGATACTGTGCTTCTGGCAGTGCCAGAACTGCCCCAGGCAAGAACTCAAAATGCAAGAAAGTGACTACATTTGTCTCTTTTCTTTTTATTACACACACCCACTTAAAAGGCTTTTTAAAATTTTTTATTTTCTGGGTGGGGAGGGGGAGGGAGAAGTCAGGCACTGGCAATTATCTTAACGGCCTTCAAAAATGACATGCAACTTTCCCTATGCAATTAGCACCTCAAGAGGGATCTTGAAGTTTAGGCTCTGAAGCTTGAAATACAGCATTGCATTAATAAAAGTCCTTCCCTCCACAAGACGAATACAATCACCAAGTCACAACAATCTGAAGTTAAACACATCCTTCATATATCCTGTTTATAAATCCACTGGGTTTGTAGTTATAAAAACACTCATTCATGCATGTGAAATGCAAGAGCTCAAAAAAATCAGAGAGAAGCACAACACAGAATTTAATTGTGTGACTATATTTTTAAGAATCATTTTTCCTTTTTGAGGACAGACACATTGCTTCTTCTTAATCACGCATAAAAAGAAATTTGTGAGAATGTTAGGAGCCAGAAACATTCTAGTTCTTCCCACAAAGTAAACTGAGATTTCAGATTATTTTTAGCAGTGAAGAATTATATTTGCAAAAAGATGTCTTTAAAAGAACATAGCCACAGTCCCAAGATATTGCAAGGAGTTAGTTCAATTAAGTTAACTTTGAGTCAACTTGAGTAATTTGATTTCCTGTGGCTTTAGTGAAGCAATACAGCACATATTTTGCACTTCTTGTTTCTCCTCAGAGACTAAGGCTTATTCTTTGAACACAGGTTATGCAAGGACATTTTTAGATGAACCATCAATAAAAAAATCTGTATTTACTGACTCACCAAATCTGGAGACAAGCCCAGACCCCTCAGTGCTCGAACACTGTTCTGTGTTGGTTTTGTCTTCTGTTCACCAGTGGCGTTAGGCTGGAAAGGCACATTTTGAAAGCTTGAATAAGCAACCAACCTCTACTAAGAAAACAGTTACAGATTAAAAGAGAAAATGCATTGCAAGTAATATTTTCAGAACGTAAACATATCCAAACAGAGCCACAATATGCCAGAAACATAAGTAATTAACAGTGGTGACATTTCTAAGAAATACTCTGAAGAAATCCCAAGACCCTAATTCAGGTCAGGTTTATTTTGTCTTTTTTTAATTTCAGAGAAAAGTTTCAATATAATTGAATCAGCTAGAAGAATAATAATGTCCAAAAAATTGGATTTTGCTAATTAATGGAGAGTGTCGAACACAGCACAAAGCCTCCAGTGACTGTCTTTGGAAATATTCATATGTAGTAAATAATTCTGTTTTCAAATACACAGAATTAATCCTACTAACTGCTGATCAAACCATAGCTGTAGTTAATAATAAGAACCTTTTTATCTGTACAAGTGAAATCACATCATCATTACCAACCTTTGCTTACAAAAATCTCCTCAATGAATACTTACATCTCGTGAAGTAAAATTTAGAGTTCAAATGAAAAAGTACTTTTAGCACTGTACAAAGAGTTGTAGTGGTCTTGACTTGACTCCAGCATAAAAGGGTTAATGGGACAAGTAAACAAATACAAAGCCCAATACAGAGTGAAATTTATTTTATTAATTCTCATAACTTACCTGTGGTACTAGGCTAACATGGATGTTACAAAAATTTTCTCTTTTTGCTTTGAACTGAAACTGTCTAAATGCTTCAACAAATGGCATTCCTTCAATATCTCCAATGGTTCCACCCAGCTGAAAAGTAAAGCTTAGATATATCAGTGGTAGAAAGAAAAAACAAGAGAAAAAAAAAGTCTCTCTTATATACTTCAATATGTTTTCTGAAATTTTTGTCTTAAAAAACCCCGACCATTGAAATTTGCAGGCACACTCTGAAAAGAACCCTCATCTACTCTGCACATTTTGTTTCTTGTGGAAAACATTAAACAACTTTCCAGTTTCATTATAATCATTTTACACCAAATGCATAAGCTTCCCATGGGAAGATGTTTGGTGCTACTGAATAATACATGCTTTCACACTGCCATCAAAGGGGTGAACCAGTAATCAACAGTTAAGCTGATGTGAAGGTTTTTGTGCAGAAGACCTTTATTTTCCTGTCAGATTAAGAAGCAGTTGTGATCAACAAGATACAGACATTTCCCATCATCACCATGGCTTTCCAACATCAATAAATGTTCATTACCAAATATTTATTACCAAACCAAAATGCAAGACTAAGTCCATGCTAAAACTTATTTATAAAGACAGAAATTAGATGTCTTTCAGTTTAACACAAAAGTCTGACAAAACAGTTGTGTTTCAGAATGATCTTTCTGTGCCACCAAGTGGCTTTTGACAGAATTGCACATTTGTGCTCATCCAGTATCAGAAAAACTTGTGATAATTACATTTGTACATGGTGCACATGTTCAGTCTAACTCCTTCAGGATTTTGCCATGGAAAAATGTTACAATTATTCTTAGAGTACTGATGAAAAATATTTTTATCAGGCTGGAGGTACAAGTGTATAACGAGAAAAGAAAATAAACCCCTTACATGGAGAAAACAGAAAATTAAGGCTGAAGTTAAAGAGCTGATAAGACCATCACTCATTTATGTTCTTGTGCAACTTCTGTATTTACTTTGTTCATATTTGTTTTAAATGAAATGTTTGACTCTCACCGTGCACATCATAAAAAAGATCTACAGTTATACTGGTGAGTATATTTGAATGAAGACAGATTCTTCTGCCTAAGAAATACTGAGCAATTCTGCTGCCCAGGTCATAAAGTTTATTGCACTATTGATTATGGTGGTCACTTCTGGCATTAAGTCTATGACATATTCTTCTGTCAAACTCTCAAGTATAATCTTTTCCTGTACTGTCTGCTGTAATAGTAATACTAGCAATTAGTGTCTTTCCTCCTCTCAATGCCCTATGGGTGGGGAAAATTTGTTGTTTCCATTGTGCAGAACATCAGCAGGTTAAGTGATTAAAAAGGTTGCTGCCAAAGGTCTTAAAAATAACACCAGAAAGTAGGAAACCAACTTACACATTATTTAAATCTATGCCTTTAAACATGACCACAAGCAACAAGATGGACATTTGAATTCTTAGGGAAAGCTAGAATGTTACTCCTATTGACCACGTAATACACAAGTTTTCTCAATACTGCTAGCAGTATAAAGCTTCAGTCAAATGCCTGGATCTTGGAATAGGCAGTTCACATTACAGTACCTGTCTGCTTAAATTCCGTAAGTTAATAAACTCTTAAGCAGCTCAGTTTCAGCAGTATTCTAAAATGGATTTAGTCAAATGGAAGTTGTAGGGATAAGACCACACCTATCACTTTCAGAACAAACCAAAGAATATAAAATGTGTCTTTACATTGCTGCTCTCCATAAAACTTCAATCTGACCTTTTCACTGTATGTAGCAAAGAGAAAGCGAGCTAGTATTTTATGTTCATTGCAGATATATAACCTAAAAAGTTCCATACTTGCCTCAATTACACAAATTTGTGGCTCCTCTCTGTCATCATCCACCGGAACTTTAGCCTGATTCATTACCCATTCCTGAACTGCATCAGTGATGTGTGGAACAACTACAAGACAAAACCAAAGAAGGTAAGCCTAGCTTACTGTAGGTTACTTTAATTTTTGCATGCAAAGGGGGAAAAATGAACTGCAAGTCAAGAGAAAACTACTAGGTCCTTTCTCTATTCCTCCTTTCCTTGAGCCCAGAACCCAAACATTACAGGAATATGCCCATTTCTCTTGGAAGGGAGAAAGTAAGGTGGTGGAGCAAGGAGCAGCCTGTTCTAGCTGATCGCTTCTTTTGTGAAGACTGAATGGAATAGTATCCCACAAAATTAAAAATATTACCTTGAACGGTTTTCCCCAGGTAATCACCATGTCTTTCTTTATTAATGACATGCTGATATATCTTTCCAGTGGTGATATTGTTATCTTTATAGAGATTGATGTCCAAAAATCTCTCATAATTTCCCAAATCCAAGTCAACTTCTCCACCATCATTCAATACAAAAACCTCACCTGAAGAAAGAAAGTGAAAACATACAGAAAAACAATAAAAAAATCAGAAATTATTAAACACCCAGCAGGAATACCACAAATGTCTTAAAATAAAAGAATTCATCTTTTAAATGACAGAACAACACATCAATAAAGCACATACTTCAACCCAATCTATATTGCCATTCTGTGACTTAATATCCAAGTCATTAGTTTTACATCCAATGTCTGCCCCTCAGACACGTACAGTTTTGCAAATAAATAAAAGTTGTATTGCCAAAATATTTAAGTGACTTATAAATATTTAACCAGCATTTCAACAGCACTACAATCCATCATCAGAAGGAAACAATCTCCAAGAATCATAAATCAGCAACAAAATATTAATTTACTTGTAGGAGACAAAACCTGTGTTTTTATAAGCATGAATTATACAGTTAAAACTGTTTCACCATAAATTCTTGTTGTTTGGATCTATTCTAGTGATTAAGGCATGGATCAGGAGTAAAGCTATGATGAATATGTTTCTTCAAACATGACCACTGTTTCTTATTCAGTTGTTCCATCCTGTGTATTTGGTTCACTGTGTTCACAGCGAGAGTTATTTCTGACACTGAAAAAATTAATTAAATTATCTTTAAGGTTCAGACTTTCCTTAGGCCTCTAAAGAGTCTCTAAATTCTGAATCTAGTCAACTTCTGAAGGAACTAAAGGTGCTAGATCTTGAGGTAAGGCTGGAAAGCTCTTCAGAAAAACTGTAAAATATTTTGCCCAATGAAGCAATGGCTACAGGAAGTTACAGGACTAATGCACACACACACACATACAAAAAAAAAAAACAAAACAAATAACCAACCACCCACCCAAAAAAACCCAAAACAATAACAAAACCCCTCAGTTCCCCTGAAGCTATAATGTGGACTACAGAAATATATATTCCACCGAGGTACAACACTCCACTTCAATGAACAGCCTAACAAATCACCCCAATGTGTACAACGGAGTGGAAGATTTATGCCTGATTCTGTGAGGCACTTAGTACCTCCTCCATATTAAGCCATCATTTCAGCCAACAAATGATTTGAGCCGACAGATGTAGAGTGGAACCAACATTTCTCTTATGCAGGTCTTGGAAGAATAAAAAAAAAATACATTGTTAAAAAAACTCTTTAAATAACTGGAAGTCACTAAATTGAAATTCTTTGACTCAATCATATTTCTGTCAAAATGTTAACAGAAGAGGATCCCCATTCTGGTGTGTGTGAATTTCCATGTACTACCCAGCAACCCAGTTTTTCTTCATGAGCAGTAAGAAACTCTTAAGTGAAGAAAGGAATTATATGCCATAGTGTCCCCTCTCCCCTGTACCTGATCCAAGGAAGGAATACATACATCCTCACAATCTCAAGTCATCGCAGGAGTTTTAACACCTGCTCAACTGCCTAAGTAGCACCAGATGTGCTCCTGAAAGTGCAGAACTACTGCATTAGTTAAGTTTTGCTTTTTGAGAGAGGTCTGACAAGCTGTGCTTTTCCTCCACTTAAAAAGCAAAGTGGTCTTTTTTCATTTCAGGAGATATACACATTTATCTTCAGTTCTAAAAATTTTGGTCTGGACTAAAAGTAAGCAAATAAAATTCAAAAAATAACAACAATTAGAAATGTCTATTGGCTGAAGGTACTTCGAAAACCATTGCTTTTAATAAACGTACAAGTAAAAAGCCACACAGCTGAAGGAACATTCAATATTTTAAATGCATGCCAGACTGTCTTGAAGCTCATCAGCAACACAGTCAATACGACCAAGGTGGCTTAAACAGCTAACCAACCAAACTAAGCATCTACTTGAAAATTCTATCATTAGCTGGCTCTCTAAGCTTCACTGATGTTTTTGACTAGATCCTCTCTGACTAAAATGAGAACTTAGGCTAATTCTTATGAAGGCACTTACACTAGAAGGCACTGACACCTGGAGAACAGCATTCACAAGTAACTGTTGACAACTTAAGTCTCAAATAAGTTTTAAAGCACTATTTAAATTTTTTTAAATCAAGTTGAGCTGAAGATACCATTAACTGAACAAGGCTTTCAGCTAGGATTTTCCCATTAAGATGGCATTTTATGAAAGGAAGCATCTGCCCATAGTAGTATCTTCAACAAACAGGCTTCTGTCTCTTAGAGCAGACAGTGAGCTTCAGAACATATAGTAAGCAATAAACTTGCAAAACAACTCTAAAATTACTAATAAGTACCATACTACTGGCTTTTAAAAAACAAAACCAAAACACACTATTGTGAATACATATATTCATGCAAAAAGGAGCAGCATCAGTCTTCATACCATGTTCGTATGGTGAAAAGGTTCCAGCATCTATGTTTATGTAAGGATCAATTTTGATTGCAGTGACACGTAGACCACATGATTTCAGAATGGTGCCAATGCTGCTTGCAATGATCCCTTTGCCAATGCCTGAGATGACACCACCAGTCACCAGGATGTACTTCATCGGAAAATCAGCACACACACACAGAGACCTTGATGTGGAAACCTAAAACAAAGATGTACCTATGATGAATGCAATTTCATGTCAGGGAAGAACACAGACTCAGTCTACAAAGAATCAAAGTTGAAATGACCCATGACCATTTTGGAATCTGGAAGCAGGATTCACCTCTCCCAGCCTATACAACAATACATAAGCTAAGCATCTATGTTGTTCCAAAGCAGGTTCTTTCACCCAGTGCACAAGAGGCTGATCCACATGCAGAGTCGATGTATTTTATGTATTTCCAGTTCTGAGCAGAAAGAGGTCCTGAGTGGCAAATCCTCAAAGCCAACAGGACCATTACCAATTCACGATTTATACTTTTTAGCAAACAAAACCACTGATGTTCATTGTCTACAAGTTACATTTCTCTACCCCATCTGAAACAGGATGATGCGTGTATCTCTTCCACAATTGAATTCATATTCCATTCAGGCAGCTGTGGAGGCTAATCACTGGAACAATTTTTGAACAATGACAGCATGGCTCACCACAGAGCAAAAACTCTAGGGTCAAGAAAATCTTTCCTTACTTAAGGACCCAGTTCATCCAAAACAGCACAAAACCGCATGGGACCTAACAGCACTCAGTATAAATGAAAGCAGTACAGTTCTTCATCAGATGGTAGTAAGAAGTAGCCAGTGAATAAACATTGTATTTCTTCCTTTTACTATACTGAAATAGCATAAATAAGGCCTGGATCTTCGGGAGACTGAGTTCAAGAATGTATCAATGTTTGTTATCAATCCTCTTTCATTTATGGTAATAGGAATTAATAAACTACTATTTGCTTTTCAATATGGACAAAAGGAAGACCACAACCATTAAAAGTATTTAACTCAGGAGAAAAGGATGATCAGGAATTAACTTTCCCCTGCCATTTAATTTTAATTTGTAATTTTTCTAATAGCACAGATTTTATGATTTGGAGCCTACTACGTGTTTCAGACTATTCCTTCATAACTCAGCTAATGCCTTTGTCACATTTCATGAACATCTAAGCCATTTTCAAAGCTATTTTCAGGAAGAGGGGGGATAATTTTAACAACAAGTATAAATCTTGAGTACGTGCCAATTCAGAACTCTAAAACCTTGCTTACAGGAACCAAAAGTAAAAGCTCGCTGTGATTTTAGGAAAAAAACCCGCGATTTCCCAGCAGTCTCAGGAAACGCGATGTTTACTCCCAATAAAAACAGAGAACTCCGCGTGGTTTCGGAAGTCACTTGTAAAAGGAGTGGGAAGTAGGGAAGGGAGAGCTGAAAGCGTACACAGTAAGAGATGATTTCGCCGGGAACTGGCACATGAATTACTCCGTCCAGCCTTATCCCCGGGAGCCGCCGCCTCCAGCCGGGATTTGCGGGCGCTGCACCCCGGAGGAGCCGCCCCGCGCTGAGCGCTCGGGGCGCCGCGGCCGAGCGGGGAGAAGCCTCCGACTTACGTGGGTGCCACAGACGGGTGCTCCGGCCGGGGCCCGGGGGCGACGACGAGGAACCGCCGCGGGGCCGCCGGACCGCAGCGGACCGCAGCGAACCGCCGGGGGAGGCGGCGGCGCCCCGGGGGAGCCGCAGGTGAAGCGCCTCCGAGCGCCTCCGGGGCGGGGCGCGGCAGCGCCCAGCGCTCGGCGCCGCGGGGCTCCCCACGCGACAGCCGCGACACGCGCGACAGGTGCGGCGCGCTCCCGCCCCGCGCGCCTCCGCTCCGCTCCGCCCACTCCCGCCCCTTTCCCCGCTCCCGCTGCCGCTCCCGGCGGAAGTGGCGCACGCGGAAGGAGCGCGGAGCGGCCGGCCCGGTTTCCGCAGGGCAGCGCCGGGACCCCCGAGCGCGGCCGCCACCGCCCCCAGAGATGTTGCGCGGCCTGGGCAGCTGGCTAGGGCTGGAGCGGGCCGGGGAGGAGCAGCTGCTTCCCGCCGGGAAGAGGAGCAGTCCTGAGGAGGAGGAGGAGGCGGGTCCGGCCGCGCAGGAGCAGGAACAGGAACAGGGGGAGCTGCAGGAGGACTCGGAGGCGCTGCTCAGCCAGGCCAAGGGGCTCGGCAGTGAGTGTCCAGTGCTGCTCTAACATGTGAACAGAGTGAACGGCTGCGAACGTGCCTTTCGGTGCCATTTCTTTCAGAGTTGTTATTAAAGCAGCAGCGTTTCCTTAAGTATCTGTTCTGTTGGCACTGTGGGAAGCGGGCTCTGTATAGATAGAATAAGTCTGTCTATATAGAATCAATGCACTTCATGAATTAGTGTGGGGAGTTGTGGGTTTTTTTCATAAGAAAATAATGAGGTTTGATGATTTTGTTGAACTCGTCTGTCATAGAATCATAGAATGATTTGAGATGGAAGAGACCTTAAAGATCATCTCATTCCACGCCCCCTGCCATGGGCAAGGACACCTTCCACTACACCAGGTTGCTCGAGGCCCCGAACAGACTGGCCCTGAACACTGCCAGAGATGGGGCAAAGCTGTAATTTGCTATAAGATCCCTGCTTTACTATAGATTCATAGATAAAATTAATCCGAAGTACAGATCCATACTCATTACCGAAGGTTTTTTTAAATTGATGCTCTGAAATGCTGGATCAGTATAATCTGAGAGGTTAATCTGAGATGGTTCTTGACTGTGCTTTCTCTCGGGCGATCTGAACTGCAGCAGTTTTGCCTGTGGAGATTGATCTGACTAGTCCTGTCTCATTGTGGTAAATTGATTCGAATCTGCTAATAGGTCTGGTTGTTCAGGAAGAAAAAAGTACTTTGATTTTCAGGGGAAGAATAAGTGTTGACTGTTACCAATATAAAAGTCCATCCCATAATTTGCTCTGGAAGCGAAAATTTAGTTTAGTGATCCATGGGTTCATTGTCTGTGACACCAGGGTAGGTTGTGGTAGAAAAGCTTTTTTATAAAGATTTGGACATCTCTGTTTTAAGACATAACTCTAGAAGCATCTGCACAGCTAACAACCAGTTAGAAGCTACGTAGAAAAGAAGGCACATAAAGAATTTCCCTGGCACATAAAGCATTTTACTAGTAAAACCAAAGCCTTACAGATGTTATTTTTTGCTCATTATCACGCCATTGTAAAAGTTATGCAAGTTTTGCCAGTGTGAACTAATAATAGCATTATTGCTAGATACATGTTCTTAACATAGGCATAGATTTATAAGATGGAGGGTAACTTTTTTGGTCATTTGAAAGTGGAAGCGTTGTTTTCCACCATGAATTCTATTTTTCTAAGGCTAAGTGCCACCTCATAGTGAGGTTTTGTAAGTACCTTACTTCAAAAATGTCTTTGCCCTTAATGAAAATAAAAAGCATTTTGCTCTTCAGCCCGGTTCCAGGACTGGCCAGAACTACTTTGTCCAACAACACCAGAATGTCACCAGAAAGCAAATGTCTGAGCACCTTTTGCACCTAACACAATTGCATATGAGAAAGTTTCCAGGGATACATGAAACAACCAATAAAAGCTGGTAGGGAGTAAGCAATCCAGTAGGCTGCTTCCTCTACTCTTATAAGGAGAATAGTATATGTATTTATATCTAAAGAAGTTAAGCATTTTTTTGTATGTGAAGCATGTGATGAGTTATAAAGCCATATAACAGATATGAAAGATGCTGGCAAGTACTTCAAGGATGTTTGGTTGCCACCATTCTGTGGCCTATAAACAGAAGTTACATATAAAAACCTGGCTTGCTTAAAGGCTGGCTAGACCTCTGCATACTTCGGTATTGATTTGGTGATATCATAGCAAAGACAATATTTTATACACAACAAAAACAGTCAGCTTTCCAAAAGGTGACATCAATGTTCCAAAGTAACTCATTCTACCAGTGACTAACAACTGTGTGTTAAAGGAACTCACTTTTTTTTTTGCATGGTCAGATTATTTCTTATATTTCTAACCCATAAGGAAACTGGACGTTTTGAGAGGTCTTGAGAAGGAAGGTTGTTCTGTTTCTGAAGGTTTATGAAATACATCTGGCTGCTCGCAAGTTTGTTCTCCTTAATTAAAAACCAATAATACAGTGCAGATGCCCACACTACATAGTTCTTTCCCTGCCACCTCTCTTCACTTCATCTAATACAAAAAATATAAGTCTTTGGGAATATTTGTCGCTGCTGTTTTGACACTGAATATATTCAGAAAAATAAGTGAATAGGGCCATGGTGTTTTTCATAGAGATAAAGAGAGGAAAACAATCCAAAATAGGTAAAGGCAAACATCAAGAGCAAGCTCCTATGTTAGAATTTTTGAAGGAATATCAAGTGTTACTTGCATGAAATTTTTCATGGATTTTCTGCTTCACTTAATGAGATTTTATTGTGCATTTTGGTTTTCTTTTTAAATATATATATTTATTAATATAAAATTATATATTATGAAATTATTATTATATATATATAAATATATAATGTTTTAATACTGTGGCTAAGTTAATTTATTGCTTCATGTCTCTGAAATGCTTATATGAAATCAGGAAAGACCCATTGCTTCAAAAAACTCATTGGAAAACAGTATTTCAAGGACCAGTAGGAATGTTTGATTTAGTAAACAAGGTTCACGTATGAAAGTTTGATTTACAGAATGTTGTGATCGAGCATACAGCTTGATCATCATCATTAAAGAATATATACTAGAAAAGGATAAATAGAGTTTGAGGAGTTCTTTGTAGGCCAGAAGCTGGGTTAAGTTATTTTGAAAGAAACTTTTAAGTAGGTATCCAAATGTCTAAAGAGAAGGAAAAATAAATCTAGTAAAAGAACTGGATGTAAAGAGATCTTTTCTCAGGTCTTTCTTTTTTTCTCTGTGAAAGGTTACCTCTTCAATTTTGCCACTGCTGCTACAAAAAAGATATCCGAATCCGTTGCCGAAACAGCACAGACAATAAAGAAGTCTGTAGAAGAAGGAAAAATTGACAGTATCATTGATAAGGTATTTTATTTCTAGATACTTTCTGAAAAATCTGTTTGCTTACTGTTGTTATAACATGTGGCAAATCTGGCATGTGATTACATTTCTTTAAGCTGTCTTTAGATATTATGTATTTCAAGAGATACTGTGCATCTCCTGTCATGATGAATGATGTGACCAAATATTTATACATGGTAGACCTGCCAAAAAATGGTCACCCTGCTTTGCTCAGTACTGCACCTGTGTTCCATTCCTTCAGGATGTTCATACGCTGGAGAGAGACCAAAAGACAATATGGAAAATGCTGACTGTGCATATTCCTACATGACATGTAGGAGGAAGGGCTGGAAGAATTTGAGACAAACAGTTGGGGGAATGTCTGTCTAGAGATGTGTGGGCTGAGTTTTTTTCCCCCCAGTTTATTTAATTGGAAGAAGAAATGCTGTAGCTTGCATCTTAAGTGCATCTCTGAAGCAAGAGTCAGAATTAGCTCAGTGCTGTGGCTATTAAATCCTAAGATCCGAGAGCTATACAGGTACAGTTTCAGAAGAGCCAGTGAGCTCATGAAACACCTCGCTGTTGTCCTGTTCTTTTACCCACCCTGACCCTACCAAATATCTCTTGCCCTCTGTGTTCCTGGCTGCCAGCTCCAGTTAACTTCTGCCAGCAAGTGTTCTTCCAGTGCTTTAAGTCACAAACTTGGCAAAAGGGAAAAAAAAAAGGAAATAAGTGCTATTGTAGTGTTCTGTGTTTGTTACTGAGGGTAGCTTGGAAGGGGAAGGGAAAAGGAACTGGCCAAAACCAATGCAGCTGCAGTAGGACTGTGCCTCCAAGAGTGTCTGACAGGGGAGATGCAGCCACATCCCTCTTCCTGCTCCTGTCTCAGACAGCCCTTCAGGGGAATTACAGTGTTGCCTTTTTTATTTTTTTAATATGATGAAATTCAATTTCTTGATATAATTGGTGTTCATGTTATCTTCCAAATAAATCATCAGATGACACTTCTGAATTTCTATTATGATCACATTTTGTTTTCAGATTTCATTGACAACAGTCTACAGTATATTAGAGTCTAATGTACTTTTGAGCCACATAATAAAGAAAAAATCAAGTAAGAAGGTTATTTGTTAATTTAATACTGGGTTGCTGAAGGAAAAAGAATTATAGGAATTTTTCAGGATTTAGCTTGAAGACTTGTGTGCTTTTTGGCAACTTTTTAAGCCACAGATCTCACCACATAAAATTTGTATTTTGTGAGTGGTTTAAATATTCGTTTCTAGCTTTATGGTTTTTTGCCTCTGCTTTCAACTACAGCACATTTGCATTGTTACTTCTAGATTATGGCATGCTGTATTCTGAGACTATTCTCCAATTTTTAATTCTAAATTCAATATAGGATATTTCTGAATGTAATTTTTTTAATGAAAATTGGTCAACAACATACATGGAGAAGTTATTTCAGCTAAGAAGACATTCTGAAAATTCTACTTTACAATTTTGCAAGTCCAATTTACTGCAATGGATGTATTTCTTAGGCAACTCTTGAAACTTATGGTAAAGCCAAGGGTATCTTTAGGTGTTTAATGCTTTAAAACATGCTTAAATAAGTCTAAACAGTCTGTGTTGTCCGTATTTGATATGATAAGGCAGTAAGTGGACATACATAGTATGCCAGTGTTCAAATTATCAGCTAGTCTTTTTTCCTTGTCCTCCTAATTTGATAAAACTATAAATATAATTTTGAAAGCATACACAATAGTTATAACTTCTTAAATGCAAAATCAAATGTTTCGGTAAAGGGAAATGTATGATTGACATGAAACACCTTCAACTTACAAAAAGGGCTACCACAGATATAAGAATACGGTTCTGCACTGTATTTGAAATCGCTTGCTGAGTGAACGTGAAACAAGGGGAGTGAATTTTTTTTAATTGTGGTTCCCTGATTTTTTTTTTAGACAATTATTGGAGATTTTCAGAAGGAACAGAAAAAATTTGTCCAAGAGCAGCAAACCAAAAAATCAGGTAGTGTATGCTTTTTTTCTTAATGCCTAACATCACATAAGTGAAAACCTGGTGGAAGCTTTGTAGGTGAGGTACATGTAAAACTAATCTATCAAAGCTCTGTTTAATGAAACACATTATGGCACAACTTAATGCATATTGTGCAATAGGAAGATGATATTTTTAAGTGAGGTTAGTATTAGATTATCTTGCTTTTAAACCAAATTCAGCTTTATGAAATTACCTCAAAGATCCCTGTGCTACTGCAGAGCTGATCTCTTGCTGCTGTTTTGAGTCTTAAACCTGTGTATTTATTGAAAACTGGCATGCTAATTTCTTCTGAGCTTTAGCAATAATGTCACATTTTCATAATGAAATTAAAAACATAGGTTAGGGTTTGCACTATAGTATTTAATTAGTTTTGCTTTAGGAGTTACTCTGCTTACATTAAAGACATAATTGCTCTTTTGCTTTCCCATAAATCATTTGCTTTGTAATTATCTGTGATCTAAATTCTTTAAGTTATCCACCCATATACTATTAACATCAGTGGATCTATTTAAGACTTTAAAATAAGCACAGTTGTTTTTTCACATCGAGTTTCATCATTGACTTTTATCTATTTTAATGTCTTACCTGATTGCAGTAATTTCTGACAGTTTGAGTAATTAGTGACTCTATTGTTAATCTTTAAAATGAGCTGTTTTAAATGGATTGTGATAAAATTTTTCATGGTGTTTATAGTTAGTATGTTAGTCTGGTTTCTTCTTGCAAGATTGCTTATGTGATCTTGTTGTCTGTAATTCTTTTTGTCTCTGTTACTCCTCCTTTGGCCAATCTAGCTACCTATTTTCATAAAGCTTGTAGAAATATATTAAGAGATGCCAAAGGAGGAGTAACAGATGACCTGACTGCAAAAAGCATTAGCATCAGAAGGGAATCCATGTGGGTGAAAGATCTTGCTGATATCAGGTGCACAGGCAAAGAAACATTGTTAGTTTAAGGGCACAAGAGTATTAAGTTAACTGTTACAGGTGCATCCTGTTGTCTCTGTAGGCTGAATCTGCATTGACAGTGGAAAGATTAATAAATATCTATACATCTACAATAGTTTATTTTCCTCTCTGTACAGCCTATAGAACTATTTTGGAAGTATCTGCCTAAATATGTAAATCAGCTGAACTCGAGTGGGCTTAATCAGTGTATAACATGTAATTTATAACAAATTTATAATCTTTTTCTCCATTGTTAAAGAGTTGGTGTGTTCTAGGTGTAAATTATTTTGCAAACTTAATTTAGACAAAGTTTACACATTCAGAGTGAATCAAGAAATGCTATTTGCAGACAACTTAGCCAGTTATACAGCACTACTTCAGTAACTAAACTAAGAGGCACCAAGTTCTGACTGGTGCAAAGAAATCCCCAGAGTTTTATTTTTACAACAACAGAAATCAGCAACTATTTATTATTTTTTACTTCTGATAAGTAAGGATCCATTTCTACAGCTTCTCTCTCATGCTATGAACTTAATTTAAGAAAAAGGAACTATGAATAGGACTACTGGTATAACTGATTATTTTTGTGACACTATATGTTACTTGTAAGGTCTGTTTTGTTGTTTGGTGGAGTTTTTTTCAAGTAATACTCATGGAATTATCTTCCTCCTTTCAATAACAGAAGCCGCAGTGCCTCCCTGGGTAGACAGCAATGAAGAAGAAACAATTCAACAACAAATACTGGCCTTATCAGCAGTAAGTATTTAATTTCCTGTAAGATTTGAAATTTTCTCTTCGAGAGATTAAAGCTTCTTTTCTTTTCTTTTAATTTTTCTTTTTAAAGTGAGTTTGGTTGGCATTATTAAATTACGTATTTTCAATATACTTCTAATATGTCTGTCACTGTGTTGATCATGTGCAATAGTAAATAGTTCTATCAGTTTCAACTTGAGCCACAGCAGATCCTCGGTATAATTTTTATTTTTGTAAAGGTTTTACGGACTACTTTGCTGATCTTGCGTGTGAAATATGGTGTCCTTTGTCCAATATCAGTTAATGACCATAAATATGTTCTTCAAAGGATAAACGGAATTTTCTGCGGGATCCCCCAGCAGGTGTGCAGTTTAATTTTGACTTTGATCAAATGTACCCTGTTGCACTGGTGATGTTGCAAGAAGATGAACTTCTCAATAGGATGAGGTTTGATCTCGTTCCCAAACAGTAAGTAATTTCTGCTGGTAACTATGTATCATTGTACTTTTAATGTTTCTGTAAATATCCATAAATTACTCTTTGTTCTTTTCACTTCCTTCAATTCTTTGTGTTCTTCCGATGTATGTTTTTTATCTGCTAATGTCAAATGTGCGGAATACTGCATGTGCATGAAAGTTTAGCAGTTGGAGGAAAGAACAGAAGTACATCTATTAGACCTTCAGAACCAATAAGGACCTGTTAAGTATGGGAAAGGCCTTCAATTTTTCTATGTCCGGTGTGCTAAATTAAATTTTTTTTTCCCCAAACAAAGGTAAATGCAACAACAAAAATGTTCAGATCTTTTGGTGTAACTGACACCCCAAAAAAGGTGGTTACAGATAGTCAGAGACCCCACTGGAGAAATGGTAAAAGAATGTGTCACAAAGCAGCAGCAATGCAAGCAAGAAAAGCTGGGTTTGAATAGGCAATGGGAAAAGCTCTGTGTTGAACTGCCTTCCTTCTAGTGGACCTAACTAAAAGATCCAAAGGTCTTTGTTCAAGCAGTTACGGCCTGTTCCAGTATGCCTTCTTGGTCACAGCTTTATTCCCTAACTGTTCTTCCTTGTCCAGTCCCAAACGCTGCTCCTAAAGCTTATTTCACAAGGAAACATTATTTTGAAGTGGGAGTTCCCAACACTAGTCTCCTTGTCTAAGGATGAAAACAGAAAACATCTTTCTTTGTGACCTTCTCTGTTTTAAATTTCCACCTTTTATAAACCTCCCCAGCTCCGCATTCTATTTACCTTTTCCCTGCTTTCAGTCCTGAAGACCTGCCCATATTCTAGGTGTTCATCAGATCTGTCTCTGATGCTCTGTCTCCAGCCTCTGGTCATGCTGTCCTTGCCTGTTCTACCACATTGCTTAATAGTTTTTTTCCCCTGTTCTTAGTCTCAGTGGTCATTTCTCTCTCTCTCTCTCTTTCTCTCTCTCTCTCTTTCTCTCTCTTT